CTGGCTGGGGAATTCTGGGAGTTGAAGTCCACACATCTTAAAGTTGTCAAGGTTGAGAAACACTGGTCTATGATATTATTCAATTACTATTACCTATTCCTCTATTACAATTACCTATGTATTATGCGCTATTCTATCACTAGTACGCTTCAATCTTTCTTTCTTAAGCCTGTTCTGCCTCAAGTCCCCTCTCTCTGAGTTTTCTTCTTCTTTTTCCGTTACTGGCCAGCACGTAGGGCTCTTGCACCTTTTTTACACTGTGCTTTGTCTCGTTGTGCGGTTATCCTTCTTTTCCTCTCTTTGGGACCATCCACTCCTTCTGAAGGGAAAACACCTTCTCTTGTTCAGCTGCTGAACTTTGTTGGTGGCTGCAGAGCTCCAAGACACAGACACACACACACACCTCCTCCCTCCCCCCCCCACACCTGTGTCACGGTTACAGCTTTATTGTATGCTGCCACTGGGGAGAAGCCTCACTCAAATGGGAGGGAAAGAAGGCATCACAGGCGTCTGCAATCTTGCTAAGCAGCCTGCTCTTCCACACCACCCCAGAAGATTAATTAGTTCTCTTCATTTGTGTTCTGGTGTGTGTTTGATATGCATAAACCAGAACCCTAACTCTCCCTTTTTCTCAGCTGGCTATTCTAAAATATCTTTTTTTTTTTTTTTACTGAGTGAGCTCACATCTTGTGCTAAACCCTGGTTTATTGATCACTGTTTATCAAAGAGAGAGCAATTGCCTGGGTTTGCACAACATAGCCAGCCAAAACAAAACAAACCAGGTTATGGCTCAGTGCAATGGATGAACCCAGCTATTGTGCTTCACACTTTCTGTATTGAAATGTTGGACTGCAGAATGCCCTTCTTCTTCAGCTAGCTGGATAGCTGCCTTAGGGGAGGTGTCCCATGTCAGCTAATAAATAAAATAAACAGCAATCACTAATAACTCTTGGCAGACTTTCTCTCAGATCAACCTTTTTAACAGAAGATTTTAAACTGCAGCATAAGCACAGAAAGGTAATTAAAATGCCTCTATATTCTGTTTTTGGATAATGTGTTCCCAACAACTTCAGGGACTTTGTGGGTGCGTATGTGTGCATGTTGTTAAGCAAGCAGGAGAGGAAGGGAAAACTTTCTGTTGTTTCCACTCACCTTTCATACCACTCCCTTCTTCCTGGAATGTGTTACGAGTAGAAGTCTGATCTTCTAAATGTTCACTCCCACCACTCCCTGAAGAGGCTACACTGCTTTGCGGAGACAAGGGGGCATGATCGGAAGGGATGCCCTGAGGTCCTCTATCCCGCAAGTCCTCATGAGACATCCATCCGTGTCCTAGGGGCTGGCTAGGCACAGTCATGGGTGGGGTAAGGGACACAGACCGTTTCAGAGGGCTGTGATGGGTCTGACTCGAGAGAACTGAAACAAAAAAAGTTGGAAAAAAATTAAAGCATGGTATTCCCCCCCCCCCATGGTTAGCAGATCAAAGCAAATGTCTCTCTTGAATGCATGAGCAGCAAGAGGGGGCAAGTGATAATTTAAAGCAGTGGTTCTTAAACCGCTTGGTCCAATTACTCCTTTTTCTGCTCTCACATAATGGCAATATCCCCTCCAAAAAACAAACAAACCAGACTGTGGTTTTACGCAAGTGTCTTGGCGATGGCAGTCTGAAACTGGATCCTGGACTCACAAACAAGCAATTAGAAATTGCTCTATTACCCTCAGAATATGTCCAAATAAGTCCCTTGGGAGTAATTACCCCTAATTTAAGAACCACTGGTTTAAAGCATGGATTGTACATACATTTCACTTGCACTAATATGCATTTTTACCTGATTAAATGTTCTTGCTGGGTCATTTTGCTTTAATACTATACTTTACATCTTTTAAGCGGAGTTGCCCCCTAGATGAAAATAAGTCAATTTACCATAACTTCTGAGACTTCCATTACATGGAGCAATACAATATCCTTTTGGTGATAAAACTGTTATTACATTAAGTGGCATCATATCATGAAACTGGTGTTTTTGTTTTTTCAGCAAGGGTCATTTCTACTTAAAACATACAACGTATGAAACATCACTGAAACACAAGTTTGTATAAATAAGGAGGGAAATATGACCTAAAAGAGATGGACTGTGCTCTGCAAGTGGGTGACTGCCAGCTCCACTTCCCTTCCCTAGCCGGCTCTGCTTCTTTTTCCTTTCTTTGAAACATGTTTCCTTTCTCGCCTGCACTTCTGGATCCAATGCTGCAGGTCACGTCTTCACATGCATTCTTATCTCTGCCACCTCTACAACCCTGTCTGCATGTCTACCAAATCAGCCATACTATGGTGAATAAATTTTTTTTCCTCCAAAGTGCTGTGATGTTACTCAGCCGTGTTCCTCAACAACAGACCGCTTGTTTCCTAATCAAGTAAACAGATCTGAGGTGTACCGGAAGACAAGTTACATGACTGCTGTTATTATAAGAACATAATGTTTCTCCTCATGTAGAGAAAGCAGTGCAATGAATTTACTTCCAGAAAGGAGCATTTGGGGTGGGGGGAGGGGATGAGCCTTTGAGTCAGTTTTTGACTCCTGGACAAATCCCTGCAGTTTTCTTAGCAAGATTTTGGAAGTGGGTTGCCACTGCCTCCTTCCTAGGGCTGAGAGACTGGCCCAAGGTTGCCCAGCTGGGTCTAGAACTCATGCTCTCCCAGTTTCTAGCCTGGGCCTTCACCACTATACCAAACTGGGTCTCCTGGGAAGGGGGAGATCCTTCCAAAAGAAAGGAGCTAGACAGTTCTCTAAACATAGATATTTGTATTGCTTTTCTCCCCCTCTAAGCTTGGCTTCCCCAGCCTAAGAGGTGATGTCTGACACATCTGGAGGATGCCAAACTGGGAAACAGTGCTCTAAGTTCTCAGTTGCCACTTATCTCACAACTATCTGTACTGGCAAATTGGTTTAAAAAGAAATGGAGGGATACATTTTTGCAGAGGTATTGAACATTATTATCTATGATTCATATTTTTTTAGTGTGGATCATGTGAAGCACCTTAAATGCTTGGCCTTTAGAAGGATGGCTAAATGGCTTTTCAAAAGTAATCAATAAGTAATTCTACAACTAGTCTTTGTTCCAGAGAGGGAGACATTTCCTTACCGATGTCTGTATTTCTGCTGCATCCAGACAAAATCACTGCAGAATATATGTGTGTTTGTGTGTATGTGTGTATTTCCTTACTACAAATTCACAGGCATTTTATAGCCAAACTAAACTTACTCTGGTCCTAGAACCAGGAAGAGTCTGGTACACTATTTCCTATGGACACATTTTAAAACACATAAGCTTGTGTGTGCTACAGCTCATTTCATCAGATACATGGAGTGGCTAAACAGATGTCCAACTGAAATTGGGATAAGGGTGGGGGGAGAGAGGATGATTATATAAATGCAGGTTACATGTGAGACACATTACAAGTATGTTATCAAGTAACAACTGTAATGTGTTAAAAACCCATTATGTTTGTTGAGACCTTTTGAGTCCTACAGCTACATTATACCATGTAGACCTATTTCTTGGAAGTACAGATCTCACTCGAGGCACTCAAAAAAATCCATAAAAGAAGGAAGCATATAAAACATAGACCCAACCTTGTAAAGCCTTAGCTCAAAATAAAAAGTATTGACAATACTTTTTAGCCATCTCAATATACCTATTTAACAATCAAGAATCACTCTTCTTTCAAGGCCGTTATTTGACTTGTCACACTGACTTGGAATTCTGGGGGGCAACTAGGGGTCAAGTTGTTTTCTTGAATACACCAAGTTTGGTTTGTTAAATTGCATTTTTTAAAAAATGTTTGTGCTAATATATTGATATGATGATGGGCCATTAAGTTGGTGCTGACTGTAACCAGCCACATAGATCTTCCTGAGGATGTCTTGTTCCTCAGCCTGTCTCTTCAGGTCTTCTGATGTTTCAGCCATCACTACTCTAATTGGGTCCATCCACCTTGATGCTGGTCATCTTCTTTTTCTCTTTCTTTCCACTGTTTCCAGCATTACAGATTTCATTAGATTTCATTAGATACATTACATAAAGTATCTAAAATACAATAATTTTGCCTTGAGTGAGAACTCTAGATTGATTTGCTTTATCACCCATTTGTTTTTCTTGGCTATTCATAGTATTCTCAAGAATCTCTCCAACACCAAAGTTCAAAAGCACAAATGCTCTTTCTATCCTGGTTCTTCAAAGTCTAACTTTTGCTTTCATAGAGTATTATAGACAAAACCATTGCCTGCATGATTCTGACATATTTCTTCCAAGGAATTCATTGCTACCCTACTAAATGCTAGCCTGCAGCATATTTCTTGACTGCTTCCTTTACTGTTGACAATTGATCCTAAAAGGCAGAAGCTATCCACCCTTTAGTATCTTCATTGTCAAATCTAAAGTTGGTTGCTATACCTATTGTCATTTGCTTGGTCTTTAAACTTTTAAAGTTTAAAAGCTTATTTAACCTTATTTTTTTCCCTGAGCTCTTTGACTTTAATTACCAGAGCTTCCAGATCATGTGCATTTTCAGATATCAGAGTAGCATCGACAGCAAGTCATTGATGTGGAAAAACTATACAGAAGACAGGGAGCCACTGACCACATAGAATGTGGCAAAAGAAAGCACATACTGACTTCTTTTTTGGTATTTGTGGCTTTCTCAATTATCCAGTGGGCCTTAGCGATGTCTGTTGTTCCTTGGCCTTTTCTACAACGAGAACATCTTGCATCTCTGCTTCCATGTAGGGCTCTAATTTGCATTATTCTGCAATTTACATTTTTTAATTTTTTTTTCAACTGTATGTGCTTTGGGCTGCAATTTTGTCTGATAAACATTTCCCAGGTAATTTCTTAATATGCCTAGTGAGGTTAGAAGGTGGCCGTCATTTTTGACTGAATTCCTACTCATTGCTATTGATTGTTGTATACAGGGAGACTGCTCATCCTGAGAGCCTTTTGTACAATGCCCAGAGTCGTTTGATTAGGTTCATTAATATATTTTCACAGTGTCTGTTTCCTAGTCTGGTCCACCTCATAGGGCTGACATCTATCTTTGTCAGCCTTATGAGGTAGACCAGAGAGAAAACATGACCAGATGAGCGAATTCTACTTTATTGTAAGGTTACGTTAACATAATTTTGTAAGGCTGAAAGTACTTCTCTCCACACCCCGCCCATGTCTCCTTTACAGCCCAAAAACTAGGGAGGATCTTTTCTGAGCCTCTTGTCCTGCCCACATTCCTGCTGCAGGCTAAGCTGCCTTTTATCTGACTGCAACCTCGATTGTGTCTTGTTGCCCTGTCTCCCAAAGTCATTCCCACGTACCATTACAATCTTGCAAGTCTGAATGTGCTTCCCTTCCTTCCTCTTTTTTCTTCACATGAATTAATGGGGAGCCTGTCTAGGGCATTTTCATAAACCTCTTGGCCTGGGCTCAAGCCTCATTTATTCGATCACTGCCCTGGTAACAGATCTTTGCTGTGTCCTTCAAGGCCATCCTCTGTACTCACTAGAATGGTGGACATTCCTTTTTTTAAATTCAACATTGGGGCTTGTTGGCAGTCTGTTTTCTTTTTAATTGGCTTTGCTCTTGGTTCTCCATACCGCCCAGCTATTGAACTTTCTTGCTATCTGCTGCTTCTCCAGACCATGCTGGGGAAGGAGTACAGACAACCTTAGCACTTCTAGTCAGATACTAAATATCTGTAAAAAGAACTGCTTGGGTTGATTTTTTTTTTGCTTATATAACCAGCGTGCACCAAATTTTTGCCTGCTGTCCATCTTTGAGCCTCTGGGTTAAGAAGCCATTACTCTCTCATAAAAGCTCCACATCTCAATCTATGACCATTGAAAAATGGTTACAAAAAGGTCCCTCACACTATCAGAGCCAATAAAGACATTTTAACAGAAAGAGAAGGAATGGTGCCTTCACTGCAGGGTGGCTTCCCCCTTAACAATTGCTTTTAATTTTTTTTAGTTTTGCTACTGGCCAAATAAATGCACACATGTATTGAAAATATGGATGGAGAGGGCACTAGCAATTTATTTTCTTTTATGTAAGAAAAAGAAGATTTTTTGTAACTCGAGGGATCATGGGGAGGGGTACTTTTTCAGGCTTTTTAAAAAACTTTTCAAAAACCCGTGAATTCTCTGGAAGAGAATTGACTAACTTATGGCCTAGTTTCATCATTCTGGGGCCAGCAGAATTAAAGACAAATGATGGCCTGCTTTAAACAGATTTCTGAGGGACTGGGGGTTGCTATGTTGAATTGCCCTATTCCAGGTTGTATATGGGTTTGAAAATGCCAAATTGAATTAATATTCATTTATATATGAACTAGATGAGTTTCTGGGCTGGATGACCTGATGGCAGCA